CCTTAACATTAAATATCCTCTAATGAATACTATAAATAACACGTCAGTGTGAACTTTGCATGATTAAATATTCTCAAATGAATTTCTAAGTAACACATCGATCCGGATAACATCCAATTTATGATATTACTAGTCGGTTAACAAATTATCTCACTTTCTAGCTTCAAATTTTGGCAACTGTTTTACTTTACTTATCGGCAGGCGTCAAAGGGAATTTATTGTGGCTAACAATCATATCGTATAGATTTGAAAGATTGTTCCAGGTAAGTTTTATAAGATTGAAAAGTTGAAAATAATCGTGTTAATACCTAAGAAAGTTGTTATTAAGAAGTTTCTCAAGCAATTCGTAATAATTCTCCCAATAAAAATTTGCGATTCAGCCTTCCGGGGGAAAAGTAAGAATCAACTTTAATTATTTCCCTGGAATTTTATGCGATTATCGCATATTTAATACGCCGCAATTAACTTTAAACGGAAATGACAGAAAAAATGTGATTAAATTTTCCTAATAACGTATCCTTTGCATTTCGCTAAATTAAGATGTTACTTTTTTCTCTTAAGCAAGAGTGGAGAAGAATAAGTACTAATTTAATATCGTATCAATATTTGAATAAGTGTTAAATACAATAGATCATTAAAACCGGATCAGTGCTAATGCAATTTGAGAAGGTATGTACATGTAATACAGAAATATTAATAATGCAAATAAATTTTGTAATTATCAATTACACCCACTTTGACATATTGTTAATGTATTCCATTTATCATATTTAAATAACGATGTGTTTGAAGTATATTTCTCACCGATATCGTGAAAACCAGGACAGTATTAGCTTGCAAACATTGCATTAACATATTAAGTATGTATCATTCACATCATTCACATAATTGCCGAGCTTGTTAAAATGTAATTATGAATACTTTATAGCACCAAGCAAATGATAAATATACTGACACATTATAATACTGAAAAATGATAGGAAAAAAATGTTAAATTATTGTAAATTGAAAATGAAAAATAGCTTGAAACAATATCCATTTATATATTACTAACTAAACGATCTATTGTTGCAATTTGGTTAAGAAAGGTTATCCGTTAAATACTATGTTTTTAAAACATCTTGGAAAAAATGTCTTGAACTTTCACACACTCTACTACATATTTAAACAGTTGTTACGGGTTACGCTTGTTGTGTCCTCACATGGAGCGTAATATTGGTTTGGGTTTGTGGATCGGTCAAAACGTTCGCCGTATGAGGGTGATACGTTGTTGACAACAAATCCGAAAGGATTGGAACCTTCGGCGCATGTGGTTACTACGCCGTTCTCCGAAGGATGGAAAAGGTTTGGTGGTTGTGAGGACAGTACGTACCGTAATGTCGGATATACCTCGAGCGGTTAAGATATATCCTTTGTGAGTCCAGCTACCTCGTTACTAATGTTACAAGGAGATGGTTAATTGAATATAGGCTGAGCAATTCTATAGTAACTATATTCTAATAATAATCAAGGAGTTTACAATAAGTTTACAATGGTTTAAAGATAAATTATAATGGTTGATTCTTGGCTGAGCAAGAATCTTCCTTCTCGACTTTACACGGTGAGTACGCGGGGACGTCGTAGACAAGTATGTCTAGTTGACACTTACGAATTTAGTATTATACTGGATTGCTTGAAAGGGAATTAAGCCCGAGCTTGCTTGTGTCAAACGGCGACTATACAGGTACTGCTCTACTTTAAAGTTCAGGGTAACTCTGAACTGTGACTGCCCCAGAGCCTCGAAAATCATGCCCTTATATACCCAAAAATCTGTATTTTTTGGGTGGTGGAGGTCCTAATTTTCCCATGAGAACGAAACGCGTTCGTTTACTTTATCTCAAGGGGGTGAGCTCTAGGCGGATGTATCCGCGCCGCCGTGTCGGCTAGTCTGCGTATGTAACATAAAAAAGGAATTTACAACAGCACTGTTCAATAGAAGTTCAAAACCTAATTTCCTGTACCACTTCATTGATTTTCGTAATGGGTTGCTGTATGCGGCTATTTGATCCGAAAGGTCAATAGATTTCTTTCCCGCATTATAATCAATTTTATAAACAACACATATTATAAACAACACATCACGCTTTTCCTTCCATTTTAGAATTGTGATTCCTTCTCGACTCTCTTGTGCAAAACATTCTCCCCGTTTCAGTTTTTTGGCCACTACTTCTTTTGAATTGCTTTTACGATTATTTCGGAGAGTACCCATCAAATGCGTATTTCGTTCCATGAGTTGTTTTGCTAAATTTATACTTGTGTACCAATTGTCCGTGCATACTGTGTGGCCTTCGTGGAATATGTCTTGGCACAAATTCATAACAATATTCGTTGGCGTTGTATTCACTTCACCTGACATTTTGCCACTGTAGACACGGAAGTTGTACGTGTATCCAAACCCGCAGCAAAGTTTGAAAATTTTTATTCCATATTTTATGCCTTTTCTGCTTCATAAACTGTCGAAATACAATCCGTCCACGAAATGGGATCATGGATACGTCAATGCAGATTAATTCTACTGGATTGTAATACTTTTTAAAATTTTCGTTCAGCTCATCTAAAATTGGTTGAATTTTCCATAAGCGTTTGGTGACATCCGCTGTTTCATTGGTTGTGAAATGCAGCATTCTCAAAAGTATTTCAAAACGGTTTCTGCTTATTATTTTATGGGGGAACGGATGATAATACACAGGATCCGTGGACCAGTATAAACTTATACTTGGAAATTTTACAAGTCCCATCCAAATAATAAGCCCAAAAAAGCGCTTGATTTCTTCTTTATTGGTAGGGACCCACCGATCTATACGCTTCGAAGTAATCGTTGATCGCTTTTGTGTTGCGTATATATTCGTCTGTTCACTTATCTCTTGAAGCATTTCTTCAGTGACTAATAGCGCATAGAAGTCTTCCACATTGACACAATTCTGCAGTTCTATGTTACTTGTGTCAACACCGTACACACTCGTAAAGGTTGTGATATTCGGTTGATTCCCTCTTGGATCACGTGCTATATTGTTGTCTATATGCACATTCTCTAACGAAGTATCGCCTTCGGATGAGAGCAAAACACGACGACGACGATTTCTGGGCGGCAAAATTAATTCGCTCTATGTATCACTTTCTGATCCACTCAACATTTTTAGGGAAATAAAAAACTTTGAATTTATGGTGAACAAGAAAATTGGTAGATCTACTGTAGTGAACGAAACTGAACTGTGACTTGTGTGCAACTGAGGATTCGTTAGGCCTCCAGGCATCGTTTAGCCTCGCGTTTCGTTTTCCTATCATCCGGCAGGAAGAGGGGATTTTGGGAAAACTCAGGATGTGAATACAAAGAAGAATTTATTGCAATTGGGAAAGGTCAGGCACTTTCCCAATGCGGGGGTGAAGCTCCTCTCAAAGTGGAGAGGAAGGCCCTCGGTAGAAAACTTCGGTCCTCAAGCCGATATTTCGGCGGGCTAACCGCGGTTCCTAACACTTCTGTTCATTTTCCGGTTCGCCCGTCGGCGGTGGCACACTTGACGGCCGAGACTGCGCCTGAACGGAACGGCAAGCAAAACGGGCTGGACACTTAACGTGTTAAACGTGCTTTATTTCTATGGGGCGGAAGGACGTCTTCGCGCTTAGAAAATCGTAGTCGAAGTGAAAGGAAAAAACCCGTAAGGGCACGACTGAAAATCTGTTGCGCATTTAAGTAAAAGAGACCAGGATTGCTTTGACATAGCAGTGTTTCTCATACATAACACAATTGATTTTTGCTTACTAGCTGACGTATTATTATTAGTAATAATCCAACAGGTTCGATAAGTTTGAGTACGACAAATTCACTTAGAGGTTGTAAAAACGCGTGAGAAATTGTAGAAAACGAGAAAAGTGGTTAACTTGGGTTCGGTAAACAAATTGCAGGATCCTTTTACACTTTGACTCGTTCCAGTCATGTTCACTGGTATAAGTAGCCACGATACAAAAGTATCTCGATTCTGAATGAAACAAAAGAAAAATAAAATTCATAATACTCTTTCTTTAGTTATTGCTGACATCATTTATATCGTTAGTCATGACATCAGTTCGGGAAAAAATCTAACATGAAGTAGGAATTTTAAAATGAAATAGTGAAACCAGTCATTTTGACTGGTGTGGTAGTTCTAGTGTTAAACAACGAATCAGTACAAGAACTATTGAATTACTTAAAGTATACGAAATTATACAGTACATCGTGAGCGACCTTTTTTTTGCCGTTGCTAATAAACCATACCAGCGGTTGATGGGACTATAAATAACGAAAGGAAAAAACAGGTTTTACTTGTATTAAAATTTTCTTTCAACTGTATTTAGACTGTTACGAAATACAGATTTCGTATATCTTCATTTTTTTCGTCGGATAGAATGTTAAAGCAGGAACAATCAACACCAACATACTACGCTTATGGTCACGAAAAATGTGTCAAAACAAAGGGTTAAGGTAACTTTCTTCGTAAATTGTTATGTTTGCTTCAACGAATGAATCGTTGGATTCGATTATAATTTTTGTAGTGGTTGGTAGGTTGTAATAAACAAACTTAATTAATATTCTACACTACTTTTATTTAATAAGGTAAGTGCTCTGCTCTACGTCTAGCTAGCGCGTGGTGTGCGCTTACGCTTTGTCCTTTATCGCTGTCGTGCCGATAAAAGGAGGGTTACGTTCCGAAAACTTATTAAAAACAAACATTTTTTTTTAATTCCATATAAGCAACTTAATTTTTATTAAAAATATAAACGTATGTATAACACAAAACGAAAAAAAAAAACAAAAAATATTATTTTCATTTAATGTAACCTTAATTTAATATATTTCTTCAAACGAGAACGTTTTTTCGGTTGAATAATATCACCTTCACTTTCTGCACCTTCTTCTTCATTTAGATTTTTTGCACCTTCTATCCTCTTTAAAAAATCTGTAATTTTGGTTTGTTTGCTGGTTCTTACAAGGTCATTGTAGATTTCATGGTATTAGAAGGGTCTGCATTCAAGAAAACTGATTCAAGATTTTCAGCTAAGCTTAGGCCCTCTTTTAATTTTTTTAATGTTAAATTATTAACTTCACAATCTTCAGCAGTGCTATTGTCCTCAGAATCGATTTGATTTCCAACTTCGGATGCCATTTCCATCAAATCCGCTTCGTCAACTTCTTCTTCCACTAATAAGTCTTGAACGTCCTCAATAGCCATATCCACAAAGCCTTCGCCTCCGATCGATTTAGCAAGTTCTAATATGCCACCAATTTCATTTTCTGACGATTCAAGCACGTTTTCTATTTCAACTGAAGATGGCCATATCTTCTTCCAACATGCATTTAACGTTGATGTTTTTAGTACTTTCAGCGACAAAGATATGATGTCGATGCTGTGCTTAATTGAAAATTGCTTCCAAGCTTCCATTACATTAATTGATTTCGAATCGGTTACGTCTAAAATCCACTGTAATAAGTTTTAAAGGTACAAATAATACCTTGATCTAATGGTTGGAGCAACGAAGTAGTGTTAGGTGGTAGGAACACTATTTTGACGTTGGGATGACTCAAATCTTGTGGGTGACATGGAGCATTATCTAACAATAATAGCGCCTTGAAGCTCAAATTTTTCCGTTTTAAATCATTTTCAACGTTTCGCACAAAAACAAATAATACCTTGATCCAATGGTTGGAGCAACGAAGTAGTGTTAGGTGGTAGGAACACTATTTTGACGTTGGGATGACTCAAATCTTGTGGGTGACATGGAGCATTATCTAACAATAATAGCGCCTTGAAGCTCAAATTTTTCCGTTTTAAATCATTTTCAACGTTTCGCACAAAACAATTTAAAAACCAATCTTTAAATAAATTTCCAGTCACCCAAGCTCGTGGATTTGCTTTCCAATATACCCGTAAGGTGTTTTTATTTACGCCTTTAAGTGCACGAGGATATAAACTAGCAAGGGTTTTGTCATAAAGTCCCCCGACGCATTACTGCACAAAAGTAGCGTTATACGATCTTTAGACACCTTAAATCCGGGTGCAGTCTTTTCTCTTTTCGCTATAAAGGTTCTACTGGGCATTTTTTCCCACCAAAGCCCAGTTTCGTCGGCATTGAAAACTTGATGCGCTGTATGTCCTTGCTCTTCTATAATGTTTTGAATTCTTTCTGGATACGTTCTGGCAGCTTAATGATCAGCCGACGCAGTTTCTCCTTGAACTTTTATGCTATGAATTGCAAAGCGCTTTTTGAATTTTTCGAACCAACCTTTACTTGCCACAAAATCTGGGTTGACAAAAGATTCTCCATGTTCTTTAAGGTGTTTGTAAATTTTAAGTGCTTTTTGCTTAATGATGTTATCATCCAATGGAATTCTTTTTTGACAGCTATCATCAATCCAAATGCTGAGTGCCTTTTCCATTTCCTCAATTATTGGCGCCCGGGGACGAGGATATTTTGCGGATATCGAAGATCTTGCAGCAACTGCATTTCTTATTTTTTTTTCATTTTGCTTAATAGTCCGGACTGTTGCTTCATTTAAATTAAGACTTTTTCCAATGTGAGATGCTTTTTCTCCTTTTAAAAGACGATCCAAGATTTGTATCTTTACTTCTAAAGAAATAAATTTTCTCTTAAACGTTGTCTTCTTATCATTATCAGACATGGCTTGGGACTGAAACTTGTGTAGGGATGACCGAGCGTGAGTGCGTTGTCTGTGTGAATGCGTGAGGGTCTATGGCGTGAGCGGTAAGGACCGGCGTGCCAGGTCGAGTGTTTGGGATAGCGCGAAAGATATTGAACGAATGTTTAGTTTAGTAATCAGGCGAGGAGTGCGTGAGTGCGTGTGTGTTTTTTTCTAACGAAAAGTGTGCATGTATGCAAGATGACATTAGGGCGAATGCGAGGGAGCGAAAGGCAGCGTGAATCCAGCGATTGATTGAGCGACACCCTTAGCGTAGCACCTAGCAGTATAAAGTATTAATAAATATTATATAGTCAAAAGTCCGTGCGAGTTTACTATCCCTCCACACATAAATCCCCTACACTTGATTTTCCAAAAATAAGTCTTAAAGACGAAAAAGTCACTCTTTAACATATCGTGGCTCGACGCAGACTGCCGACCAGCCGCTTAAGACACTTTGTCTCCAGACCACGGAAACAGAAAGAAACATACAAGGGCCTGCCGTTCACGGGCCCTCGGCTGCAATCGCATTTCACAACAGATCGATACAATATGACGAAGTCGCATTGCACTTTATCCTTTTAGATACGGCGGGACTTTCCGCAACACTATCTCTGAGACGGCAAGTCTCGCCGCGGATGGCGCGTAAACTGTGCATGACGCTTTCCGCTATAACATCGGAATAGAGTTATAAATGAGTAAATTATAATTTATTTATATATTTTCATGTAAAGGCACTATAGTTCATTATTCCTTCCCGTCATTTGTAAGAAATGCGAGATTCCGGCGGCGAAGTGGTGGCCTGGACTTTGGCGCCCAGGAAGAGAAAGCGCGCGGGTACCTGAGGGTACCATAAACTATGCCCTTTCCCCGGAAAGTCGAACGAGGGGGCTCCAACGGTTTTTCGGAGCAACGCGGAATACGACGCGGAGAGGACACTCTGGAAATAGCCGTCGAGCGAGACGGAGCACTTAGCAGTCGCTTAGAACTATAGTTTAATACATTTTTGGATACCACACTATCCTGTGTTAAATTCATTTAAGCTGTGCTTACACATTATTTTAAGGTAATTTAGTTTTTAAATATGTTAAACAAAAATCATTTTGTCCAGTGCTGTAGAAGTTCAGTGTTGTACAAAGGTTTCCGCAATTTTCTTATCGTGTTAGAGCGAAACAGTGTTATAGGATGCCGTGTTGTAGGAGGGCTACCTGTATTTCCAACTCAATAAACAAACAAATGTCACGCATAGCAGAAAGCGTAGAATTAAACACAAATCGAATCAACTTCTTAGCAGAATCCCTAGGTATCGAATTTTAACATTCAACTCCCACACACCCCAACGCACATATTCACCTAATAAACTTACAATCGAACAACTAAACATAATACAAATCAACGTAAACTCGATAATCTCAAACGAAAGGCGTGCCTCTCTTCTGGATTGTCTGAGTCATCACAATCCAGACATAGTACTACTTTCGGAGGCAAAGCTTAACCGCAGACATAAAATTGAATTCCAAAATTACAACATAGTTCGAAACGATAGAATAAGTGCTGAACAAGCTGGGGGAACAGGCATCGTAATGAGAAACGACATCAAATTCAAACACATACTCCCAGATAACGCCACGAGTAATAAATGCTTCGAATCAACAGTGATCGAAGTCAAATTACAGAATGC